GTTCTAACCAAGCACTTCATATACATTATCTCATTTAATTCTGTGACAGAGATATTTATTCTCCCAATTTTAGATGAGAAAACTGAGAATTTCCCAAAACTTCTTAGAGTATAAGTGTCAGAATTAGAATTTAAACACACTGGTATTGATTCTAGGATCCATGCTCTTAATTACCTCTCCACACAGTAAGCACCCAGGTGGTATGGGCATCCTTTTCCCTGACACACAGGGGGTCCATCAACTCATCACACTGTTCTCTTGTACATGCAGGGAATTATGTTTCCTGGTATCCGTAAGGGTACCCTAAACCACGTGAAAGAACTTCCCCTCTGACAGGAAACACGCACCCTTGGAAGCAGAGCCGAGATGTCTTCCTCCTGTAGCCTCCAAAGCCTTCTGCAGCCCTTCCCAGGAGCCCCTCACAATGTCAGTGTATCATCGGAACAACTAGTCCACCACAGAAGTGCTCATGCTGCTGATTAAAGAATAATGGTAATTTTACATAGCTCATCATTGTTAATGTCTGTGAAATGGATTAAAATGTTCTCGTAACCTTCTTTAACACTGCCCTGAAGTTTCTTGCTCTGTCAGAATAAAATGGTCTAGCCTTAGAACCCATCATTTTTCATGCTGAAGCACAGCACCCTTCACAGTACTAAAATTAGCAGTTTTAGAAATGCTTGAAACCCTCTCCTGCAATTTACTATCGCTTTAAAATATGTGTATATTATGGTTCTGTAAATACAGATAAACACAACTTACAGAAACCTGAGTGGTCAATTTCTGATGCCCACAAACTCCGTGGCGGAGTCTGAGACTTCCTCTCCCTGCATCCATCCCAGGATGCCTGATCCCCTCTAGTCCTTCTTTCTGGAAAGCAACCAGCTCTGTTCCAACAGCACCACTAGGTGGCCAGGATGGAAAATAGGTTAAACGAACTTTTCTTCCCTCCAAACTTTTTTCCTCAAGAGAATGCCCCTCCCCAACCCCAATCTCTCCTCCACCACACACTCACCTCAATTTTCTTTGGACTTTGTCATTTCACAGCCAAGGTGATTCCACTTTCGGTAATCTCTCTCAAATTTACACACATCCTTTTTGTTTTTGCTGTAGGCTTAGAAATCTTCTTAATTATTTTTATTGGAGTACAGTTGCTTTACAATATTGGTTAGTTTCTACTGTATAGTAGAGTGAATCAGTTATACAAACACATATGTTTCCTCTTTTTTTGGATTTCCTTCCCATTAAGGTCGCCACAGAGCACTGAATAGGGTTCCTTGAGCTAAACAGTAGTTCTCATTACTATTTCATGCATAGTATCAATAGGGTACACATCCTTCTTTAAAAAAATATTTTTCTTTTCCTCACCCAGTTAGTTCATAAGCTTTTCTTAATCTTCCAACTGCCTTTATTACATGCATAAGCCTAGCAGTTACTAGGATGGAGTAAACCATATTTGGCTCCAACAGGAGCCCTAACAGGTTGGGTGGGTTTATGAGGTTTGATTGACAGGGATATGCAAGAGATTGGCAATGCAAGATTTTATACCTATCATTCATCTATCTATCCATCATCTATGTTTTTCCAAACTATAGGGCTTTACTAACTTTTTCCAATTGATTATAAGATATGGGAGGATGTTTTTATTCATGTTTGTATAAGAGTGAAGGTTTTTCCTGTTGCCCAGGCTCCAATATGGCTGGCAGGGGTGCTGCTTCCCATTCTAGAACTCCACAACTTCTTTTTTTTCTTACCTTTTTTTCCCATTTATTTTTATTAGTTGGAGGCTAATTACTTTACAGTGTTGTAGTGGTTTTTGCCATACATTGACATGAATCAGCCATGGAGTTACATGTATTCCCCATCCTGATCCCCCCTCCCACCTCCCTCTCTACCAGATCCCTCTGGGTCTTCCCAGTGCACCAGCCCCGAGCACTTGTCTCATGCATCCAACCTGGGCTGGTGATCTGTTTTACCCTAGATAATATACATGTTTCGATGCTGTTCTCTCTAAACATCCCACCCTCGCCTTCTCCCACAGAGTCCAAAAGTTTGTTCTGTACATCTCTGTCTCTTTTTCTGTTTTGCATATAGGGTTATCGTTACCATCTTTTTAATTTCATATATATGCGTTAGTATACTGTATTGGTCTTTATCTTTCTGGCTTACTTCACTCTGTATAATGGGCTCCAGTTTCATCCATCTCATTAGAACTGATTCAAAT